GGCCCTGCAGCCTGCACGGAGGGTCTGACGGGCCCCTGCAGCCTGCCCAGGGCTGGGCTCTGACGGGCTCTGGGGCATGTTCAAGGCCCTCACAGACCAGGGGCCTCACGGGAGGCTGCTCCAGGGAAGCCCCGGGTGAGACACACAGCAATGGCTCCTCCCGCCCCCTGCAGCCAGACAAGCCTTCCCTTTCCCGCAGATAGCTGTGTGTCATGGGGCTCCTTCCTGCTGTGACTGACGTGCGTTTCAAGCTGCAGCCCAGGCCAACGCGAAGCTCTGTCTTCATCGTCCCTGGGAACCAACCCCTCCCCTCGCGGGCCCAGCCTCTCCCAGCCCGGGCTCCCTGGCAGGGCCCAGGACACTCGGGAGGCCCGGATTCCCCAACAGCTGGGCAGCCAGGGTGTTTCTGACCGCAGCGGCCAAGGTGCCCACCCCAGGCCTCACCATGTCTCCGGGGCAGGTACTGAGGGTCCACCAGGCTGACCTGCTCCTTCCCAGAGATGTGACGGTGCAAAGTGATGGTGAAGTTGTCGGAAGGCGCAATGACCTCCTCGGGCGGCAGGACCACGGTGCACGCGCTGCCCCGGAAGACACACCGGTGCTTGCTGTCCGGCGCTTGGTTGCTGGAAAGGGTGTGCATCAGCACCAAGACGCTGCCGCGCCGGCCTGGCCCCCGCTGCTGTCACGGCGACCCCGTCCGTACCCCTGCCCTCTGCCCAGGTGGGCCTGGCCCCGCACCCTCACCTGGTGAAGAGGAGCCAGGGGCTGGGGCCCTGGCCCAGCTCTGGGGTCGACCAGTGGCAGTCAATCCTGAGGATGTTGTTGGTGAGGCAGGTGAAAGTTCCAGCCCCCGGCCCTGGGAGCAGGGACCGCTGGGAGCCCACAGAGGCTGCTGCGGGCAGGGAAGGGGGAGGGGAGGCTCTGGAAGCTGACACCCTAACAGGGCGGTCCCCAGGGAATGACAGCAGGAGAATTCATCAGGGCAGGGCTGGGAGGTCTGGACAGCGATGCTCTGGCCCGTGGCACGTGGGTGGGACTGGAGGCCAGGCTGGTCCCTGGAGGGCAGGTCCTAGCACAGTTCGGCCACACCCTCCCCGAGGTGTTTGACAGGCAGCCTGCCCCGCGGCCTCCCCCACCCGCCTCACGCGGTCACTGGCGCCCTCACCTCCTCCTTCTCCGGGCACCGAGACTCCCAAGCCGACCCAGAAGCAGACCCGGAGCCAGGTGCCCATCCCGCGCGTCAGGGCTGCCCTCTCCAAGGTCCAACCTGCAAGGGATGCGGCCCGTGAGGCCCTCCCTGTGAGGAGCGCTCCCCACGGTGCTCTGAATGGCTCGCCCCTTCACACTCACGTGTCCTGTGAACACGGTTGGGCACCGCTGTCCGAGCTGCACCAACAGGCCACCAGGCTCAGGTCAGTCGACCTGACGAAGACTCGAGGCTGCAGCAGACAAGAGGGGACCCTCACACTCAGCTCCGTGCCCGAGTCTGCCTGGAAGGCTCCTCTCTGGGAATGTCCTCTGCCAGCCCAGTCCCTGGCCCTGGCCCAGGTCCCATCCTGGACTCTGTGGCGTCTTGCCTGGTGGACTGTGGAACATGCATTACCCACTGGAATTCCCAGCAGACTTGTGAGGCAGGGAGCTGACCCCCAGGGCGGGAAGTGACTTGCCAAGGGTCACAAGGCCAACTTCTACCATCGCCTCTCTCCCCATGTCCCCTTCAATTAAGGCCTGTCCCAGCCCTCCGCTGCAGGAGGGCGGAGGATGGCAGGGGGGTGTCCATGCAACAGCGGGCACTTCCTAAACTCTGTGCCACACCCCATTCAGAGGTGCTAGGCCCCTGGGAGAGCAGAGGTTAGTGGAGACTCGGGCCCGGGTGTGAGGCAGTCCCTGGGTGCTGTGCAGGGAAGCCGCTGGTACCCTATCACCCCGTTTGCAGCTCCAGATGGCGCACTGATAGCCCCCAGGCAGGAAGCAGGGTCCGCCTGGTTACGCAAGCCTGATGGGTGATAAGGAGGCCGAAACGCTGCAGACACACACACCGACCTCAGCACACATGCTCCAGGAAGCAGACAGCACTCCAACCCTCCGTGTCCCCACAGACTATCTACGTACCCACAGGCCAGACCCCGTGCAAATCAGGGAGACCTCACCCTTCCCTAGAATGAAGTGCCACGGGTGCCCTTAGCCACAGCGCTCGTCTGCAGCGTCTTCCCCCTCCTGCTCAGTCACAGGTGGAGGTGGGGAGCCGCCTGACCACAACGCACTCTCGGGGCGTGTGAAGACGGGATCAGAGAGAGCACCAGGCCCCGGGGGGAGCGGGGGCCCAGCAGGCCCCATCCCCAGGGTGGAGGGACACGTGCATCTGTGCAGAAGCAGGCCAGCCCAGCTCAGGCTCATCCAGGAGCCAGGAGCTCACGAGAATGGAATACAGTGGCTCCACGCTCAGCAGGCCCGGGGGCCAGGACCCGCCCTGGGGAGCAGCGGAGGGTTGCGGGGGATCATCCTGGGGGTGGGGGGTCCTTGCCTCTCCTTGGCAGAGAACACCTCTGTCTATACCTAGAGAGCTGGCTAGAGTGGGGCCACCACCCTCCCACAAATGAGGAAACCGAGGCCCAGAGAAACCAGGCACCTGCCCAATACCCGGCACCTCTGTTCTTGGCTCCCATTCAAGCCTGTGAGCTCACAGGGAACCATTGGTCTCTCTCTTCAGGGCTCCTCCAGCGAGAGGCGGGACATTATTGAGGCAGGGCCACCCCCATCCTTGACGACAGGCCCGGGGCCAGGTGGTGCAGAAACCCCTCCTGCTTACTGGCTGGTCCTGTAGGAGGCATTGGGATGACGCCGTGAGGACCAATCACTCTCAGGGGTGGCTGTAGAGCAGCAAGGGACATCCCCTTGAACTGAGATGCTCCCTAAGACCTCTAGTCCTGTGGGGAGCCCCTCCCCATAGCCCCCCATCTCCTCCATGGCCTCAGCGTCAAGGTCAGCTTGCCTGCCATGGTTTCCTGGACCATCAGAAAGTCGTGGGCTGCCTCGCAGCTGGATCCCTGCCTCAGGACCCACAGACACCACAGGACCATACTACTCAGTCCCTCAGCTCCCCGGCCCAGCCCAGGCAGGCAGGCTGGGGGCTGGCGGGGGCCCTGGGATCCTTGGTGGCACCCCTCCAGTCGGCTTCACACCAGTCACTGCACCCACTTCCTGCCCCTTTAACACGGAATCTGTTTTCTAGTTTTCGTGGAGAGGGAGCGATACCCCTGCTATTCTCCCTGGCAGACAGAGGGGGTGAGGTGGACGCTGCTAATTAAACGGGCGCTTGTCCTCTGTCTTCTCTCTGCCCTTCCTGCTTGGGAGGAGGGATAAATTCAGGCCCCAGCCCATGCCCCCCAGAACTGCTGGAGCCTGGGGGATGCGGGGACTGTGCTAGGAAATGGGACCAGAAGTGGGAGTGGACCCCACCTCCCCCCTTGGGTCACAAAAGCACATGTGGGCCCCCCCCCCGCCCCGATGGCACCGATGGAACCCCGGATGCTGCTGGGCAGTAGATGCGGAGGACGCTGTGCTTCCTGTGGGTGCTCAGTGGGTGGGAAGGGCAGGGCCCAGGAGAGGTCAAGGCGGCTGCAGGAAGGGGATGGTGGCCCCAGGAGGGGGCGGGGAGGGGCGCTCCATCAGGGGCGCATGTCTGGGAAACATGGACACAGCGGGCAGGAGCTGTGGGAGAGGTGAGGGCTGGACCCACAGGGCCTCGGGTGGGTAAGGGCGCACACAGAGGGCGGGCTCAGGGCAGGGGAAGGAGAGGCTGAGGATGGAGTCAGAGGGGCAGAGGGGAGCCTCGGAACTCACGTGGCTCCTGCTGGTCTGCGCTCCAGCCCTGGCTCCCTGCGGGTTTTTTGAAAAAAGGTTGTGTTACTTAAAATTTTTGGAAATAATTGGACTATGAGCTCTTACCTATGTGGAGATTCTTCTTCCATTACCAGTTTTTGAGATACCAAAGGACCCCCTGCCCGGCCTCCTTCCCCATCAAGGGCCTCCTCCTCCGGGAAGCCCTCCCTGAGCACCCCAGTCTGCCTCCCCAGCAGACAATGGGCGCAGAAAGCCGGCAGTAGCCATGGGTCAGGGCTAGAATAAGGGTGTTGACACAGCTCTCTTTGGGGGTCTTGGACACTAAACGGGGAATCATAACACCCCTCCCCTGCCAGCACCTTCCCCAGTGCCCTGCTGCCCCTTTGCAGCCCCCACATCAGGCGAGAACCTGTCTGATTTATGTTGTGCCCCCTGCACCCACCCTAAATGTTCAAGAAACGCACCCCGAAACCACCTGCAGAAGCTGCCTGCTTCTAGTCAGTGCAAATGCTGTGGGCTCCTGGGAAGAGCGCTCTGGACATTATTGAGCAAGAACCTTGCTCCCTTCCTCCACTTGGCTGAACAAACCCTCAAATCCCACCCCCACCGCGGCCCCTCCCTCAGCTCCAAGGGGGGCTATCCCCCGACTCCCCGCTCCTCTCCGCCCTAAACCCCCCAAAGGCATGAGGATGTGGAGACACTGCCACCCCAGGGCCTGGACCTCATCTCCACCCGTGGGCACAGCTGGGACCATCCCCTGGAATGCCCATTCGCACCCACCCGTGCCCCCAGAGTTCAGCTCAGCCACCGGGGAGCAGAGCCACTTCCATAGAGAAACCGCCTGACAAACGCAGTGCCCTTCCCTCTGCCCAGCGGCACCCACGGCCCCTACAGGCCTGGACGTGACAGCTGCCAGCTGTGGCCAGCAGTGCACTCTGCTCTCCCTGGAGGTGCCCCAGGCAAGGACACCGGAGGAGGTAGAACTCGGGGGTGCTCCCGGGCACCCCCTTCCAGGGCTCACACCCGGGGAAGGCGGCTGCCGGCCCTCCCTGTGTCTGAGGTTCGGGCTGACATGAGTGGGTGGGACGTTCCCGTTACACACTCACCTTGCCAGATGCATCTGCTGGGTCCCATGGCAGGACAGTCCCTGTGCTGGCGGCAAAGCCCCTCGGCCTGATCCAGGAGATAAGTGCCCCGGGGGCGGTGACGCAGCCTCAGCCTCGCACGGCAGGCTGACACCGGCCGCCCACACCTAAACCACGAGCAGTGAAACAGCCATCCGGGGGGAGGGGGTGGGGGAGGAGGGGGACGGGTGACTGTCACCACTCGTCATAAGCCCAGGAATTATGAGGTGGGACCACGTTGATTCCCTGTGAGGCTGAAGGTTCCCCCGGGACTTTGGCGACTTGTCCATTGATTGGTGGAGGAGCATCTGTTGTATTCGTCCCCAGGGACACCACTGGGTGCCTTACTGTGGTCCCAGGAGGCGAGGACCGTGGCCAGGCACAGGGCCGCGGCTGGTCCCCTTCCAGGCTTCTCTGAGACCTGAGGTGCAGACTGCTCTCCAGGAAGGCAATCTGGGAGCCACGGGGATGGAGAGGGCAGGAAACATAAAGAAAAGTCAGGGTCTGTTAAAGGAAACAGTACAGAAGGAAATAACAGTGGGAGCTGCCTTTTCTCTCCCCCCAGGGGTAGCCCTTGTGAGAAGGCAGGCACAGACGGACCAGACATTTCTAAGCTCAGATGCACATTTTTAAAATTTTTTTAATTGATTTTAGAGAGGAAGGGAGGGGGGAGAGGGGAGGAGAGAGAGAGAGAGAGAGAGAAACATAAATGATGAGAGAGAATCATTGATCGGCTGCCTCCTGCACACCCCTTACTGCACACCCACAACCTAGGCATGTGCCCTTGACCGGAATCGAACCTGGGGCCCTTCAGTCCACAGGCCGACGCTCTATCCACTGAGCCAAACCAGCTGGGGCTCAGGTGCATTCTTAATGGGCTCATACTGTGCTCTGAGCCTCACAGCCTCCTTGCTCCTCTGGCTATTTTCAACACTTTCCAGGTCAGCACAAAAACACACCCTGTGCCTTTAATGGTAGTACATGCTGTGGTTTCATAATCCCGCCAATGGCTGTTTGATTGTTGCCTATATATGCTATTTGAATTTCTATTGAGATATAATTTCCATATAACATTCCAGTGTATAGATGCTATTTTAAATGAAGGTAGTGAACACTTCTGGGCATGGATCTTTAATCACCAGAACGAGTACTTCTGTACAAAAAATGGCTGCGGTGGAATTGTAGGTCTAAGGTTCAGCATTTTAAAAAATCTATAGCTACTGCTCTGGCTGGTATGACTCAGCCGGTTGGAGCATCGTCCCATACACCAGAAGGTCGCAGGTTTGATTCCCAATCAGGGCACATATCCAGGTTACAGGTTCAATCCCCCAGTCAGAATGCATACAGAAGGCAACCCATTGACGTATCTCTCTCACATCAATGTTTTTCTCTAGCTCTCTCTCTAAAATCAATCCTCTCTTTCTTCATCCCTCTCTCCTTTCTTCATCCCTCTCTAAAATCAATTTTTTTAATAATAAAAATTAAAAATAAATCTCACCATTAAAAAAAAGTCCAGATACTGCCAAGTGGCCCTCCAAAAATGTACCAACTTCTACTCCCACCAGAAGTGTGAGATTGCCTGTGACCCTCACCAACAGTATATGCGTTATCAGTGTTTTTAATCTTTGACAATCTGATAGGCAACGATATTTCAATGTTGGTTTTCTCCGCACTTGGCTATTAGTGAAGATAAGCATCTTTTCACATACTTACTGGCTGTGTGTTCCTTTCGGTACCAAATAAGTCACATTTCGGTGTGTGTACGTGCCTGCGTTTATCTGTGAGAGTGCCTGTGTGCGCACATGTGTGTGCGTTGTGTTCTGGGCATCAGAACATCTTGGGCGAGGCTTGGGTACCTCAGAGCTGCAGCTCTCTGGAGCCTGAGAACACCAGGACCCATGGAGACCTGGAATCGCAGGCTCACGCCCAGGAAATACCTTACGAACGATCAGGGACATAATCACATTTCTTTCTAATATTTACGTTTCTTGTTTTATTTGTATTTATTGATTTTTAGACAGAGGGAAAGATAGAGACATCAATTTGTTGTTCCACTTATTTATGCATTCACTGTACTTATGATTCTTGTATGCGCCCTGACTAGGGATCGAACCTGCAGCCTTGCGTATCAGGACAATGCTCTAACCAACTGAGCTACCTGGCCAGGGCACTAATATTTAAATTTCAATCAGCTTGGTCCCCTTTACAAGGAAGTACTTTTATACTCACTGGAGTCTCCCCTTTGCTAGTATCTTCATCAAAAGAGCTTCCTTCCTTCTGTCTATCAGGGCCTCCCTCCACCTTGCTGAAGCTAGAATTTACTGCAGGGGTCCTCAAACTTTTTAAACAGGGGGCCAGTTCACTGTCCCTCAGACCATTGGAGGCCGGACTATAGTTTAAAAAAAAACTATGAACAAATTCTTATGCACACTGCACATAGGACACCACAGCGTTTTTTATTTTGAAGTAAAACAACAAAACGGGAACAAATACAATATTTGTATTTGCATGTGGCCCACGGGCCGTAGTTTGAGGATCCCTGACTTACTGCCTTAAAACAAATAGAACACACCGCCTACACCAGGGGTGGGCAAACTTTTTGTGAGTGCGTGCCAAAACCAGCAAAATCTCTGACTCAAATTTCTTCTGCGTGCCAACCCTAATTTTTTGAGAACATGTTACGTCTACTTGATATCTCTTAAGGTGTACGTATGTGAAGAACCTTGAAGAAATAATAAAATTCATTCGAGCAACAAAAACGCAGTATATGATGATGAAAAATACATTTATTTTTTAAGGTATACATGTACACTGATAGTCTGACAGAAAACTTTATGACTCAGTTTGATATTATCAGTGGGACTTTTGCTGCTGCATCACTGATGACAGAGATTTTACATCAGGTTTATATTTCGTGACCTTTAGGGATATGCAGGAGCTACTACTTTCATCCATCAGCCTACTCCTATTACGAGACTTAACAAAATTCATCACTGAGAACAAAGATTCACAAGCATATGTGGATGAAACCAAAACACTGGTTGGTTGGGGATGGGGGAAAAAAAAAAAGTCAGCCATGTCTACCCATGAAAACATTTGTAAGTCTAGTTCCTCTAGTTTTATGCTGTCTGGAAACCTCATGAATTTTGCTGTCTCTTCCAGGCCTCTGAATTTTGCAAATCTGAAGAAGAACTGCTCAATAGTTGACTCGATGATGTTTAAAACAGCTTCTGAAGGCTTTGACAGTCTGTCTGTCATCTTTTGAGAGGTCTTTGATGTGCCTCTTGAGGTTTGGGAAATATCTAAATCTCTCACCACCCACATCCCTCTTAAGACTTCCAGTTTCTTTTCAAAAGCCTTTATGTAGCCAAACATAACATCAAGTGTCTTGCCAGTTCCTTGTAACTTAACATTTAAGTCATTCAAATGTTCACAAAAATTGTAAATGGAAGATTATAAGAGAGGGTTTCGCGTGCCAGCAAAAGTTACTGGCGTGCCATGTTTGGCACAGGTGCCAGGGGTTGCCCACCCCTGGCCTACACCATGATCCCAAAGAGGAGACCACAAAGGCTGGAAAGAAAAAAGCCAGAGAGGAGATCCCAAATTCTGCAACTAAGCTCTACCAAAATCTCTGAATGACCCCTGACCTACATGTGCACAAGCCCATGCCAGCAGCCCAGCAAAGGTTAAACAACCTGAACAGAGATTGCAACTGCTATAGGTCTAACCAATGGACACGGACAACGGGGTGAGGACACGGAGTGGGGGGGGGGGGGGGGTAGAGGGTAACGTGGGGACAAGGACACATATGTAATATCTTAATCAATAAAAAATATATTTAAAAAAAAGAGAGAGACACAGAGTTGAGTTTGTAATAAAAAAAAAAAAAAAACTCTTCAGAGAAACGTACCAGAATCCATTCACAATTTCCAAATAAATCCAAAACCATTAAACATATGAAGGAACAGAACTATGTAACCCATACATAAGAGGAAAGACAAGCAATAGACAGATTCCCAAAACTAAATTGTTAGAAATAGCACAGGTTTTAAGGCAGCTACTCTAACCTCAAAGATATAAAGGAAACTGTGCCCCCGATGTATAAATAGGAAATCTCAGAGAAATCGCAACTAAAAAAAGAACCAAAAGGAAAGTATATGAGTGAAAAATATAGCATCTTAAACAAAAGGGACACATCGTAACCGCACAGAAAACAAGACGGAGCCTTAACCAGAAGGAATCTCTGAAAGAAGCGAGGCGATTGGTGTTTGAGCGGATTGACCCAGGAAATCACATCCTAAACAACACACAGGCGAGGGCATCTGAGGAAGTCGACACGGTGCCCTCCCTGGGCAGCGAAAGGGAGCCAGGCTGGTCCCGGACAATCACCAGGATGAGTGGGTCCTACATGTGGAGCAGCGGAGCAGGTCGGCTCGCTCCCCACACCTGCGCTTGTGCCAGGCAGTCCTCGCAGAGGCATCTACTCGCAGAGTCCTTCGCTGGACACGTAAGACTTGGGAAGGCCAGTCAGTGCCTCTTTGCCAAGAAAATACACTGCTGGCACCCTGACATCCCACCTCCTCCCATAATAACTGGAGAGAAATAGAAAACAACATCCATGGACAGACGGAAAGCATCAGACACAAAGAACAAGCAACATAAATTCTCACAACCCTGTGAGATACACCAGGTGTGAGCAAACTACAGCCCACAGGCAAAATCCAGCCCACCCTTTTTTTTTTTTTACAAAAAACTCTGAGCTAACCCTGGCCAGTTTGGCTCAGTGGATATAGAGCATCGGCCTGCAGACTGAAGGGTCCCAGGTTCGATTCCGGTCAAAGGCATGTATCTTGGTTGCAGGCACATACTCAGTCGGGAGTGTGCATGAGGCAGCTGATCGATGTTTCTCTCTCATCGATGTTTCTACTCTCTACCCCTCTCCCTTTCTCTCTGTAAAAAAAATCAATAAAAATTTTTTTTTAAAAAATCTGTGAGCTAAAAATAGCGTATACATTTTTAAATGGTTGGGGGAGGGGGATTGCTTTAGAAATTACATGACACATGAAAATATTATAAAATTCAAATGTCAGCATCCACAGTTTTTCTTTTGTGTTTAATATTTATTGTTGGAAGTATCAAGCGCCCAGTGTTACTGAAGCACAACCACACTCATTTATTTGCACTGCCTACAGCTGCTTTCACTCTATAACGCAGCATTGAGTGTGACAACAGTGTTTCATATGGCCATTCGGCACACTTACAGCTCAGTGGTCATCACTCAGCACCTCAAGGGCCACCATACTGTTGTGCTGCAACATTTATTTTTTTCTGATTCTTACCAGTGCATACCTATAATGTTGTTGGGGTCCAACCCCAACAGGTCCAGGGGTTCCCAAAGGTGTGGACGGAGTTGGCGAAGAAAAAATGACATGGAGACAGCATTCAGTTGATCAGCATAGCGAGGTTCTCTAGCCAGGTTCTGTCCAGGATCTCCAGCCAGGTTCTAGCCAGGATCTCCAGTCAGGTTCTGTGTTTTATTATCTTGTTACATCTGTATTTATACCAGTTCTGTGAACTGAAAGGTCCCAGGTTTGATTCCGACCAAAGGCACATGCCCGGGTTGCAGGCTCCATTCCCAGTGGGGGACTTGCAGGAGGCAGCCGATCCATGATTCTCTCTCATCGTGGATGTTTCTATCTTTCTCTCTCTCTCTTCCTTCCTCTCTGAAATCAATAAAAAAATAAATAAACTCTGAACATCACTAATCAGGGGGGAAATGCAAATCAAAACCTCACACCTGTCAGAATGGCTATTATCAAATAAGTGACCTTGGTTAGAACACATAGCGCCAAGAAGGTGAGCAAACATATTAAGAACAGTATGCCATATACGCCAGGTCCCTTGAAACATATGTTGTGCAGATGTTTCTTCCCTGCAGCAACTGTGTCAAGCAGCAAGGATGGACCAGCTTCCGGCATAATGTCAAAACAAGAAAAGTGAACTCTAGCCCTGGCCAGGTGTCTCTGTTAGTTGGAGCATCATCCTGTATACCAAAAGGTTGTGGGTCCAATTCCTGGTCAGGGCACACACCTGGGTTGTGGGTTCAATCGATGCATGCGGGAGGCAGCCGATCAATGTTTCTTTCTCACATCAATGTTTCTCTTTTTTTCTCTCTCTCTCACCACATAGTCTCCTCAGGTGAGGATTTAAATAAATAAATATGTGAACAAGTAAGTAAATAAATAAGAAGTGAACTCTGGCCCTAGCCAGTTTGGCTCAGTGGATAGAGCATCGGCCTGTGAACTGAAAGGTCCCAGGTTTGATTCCGACCAAAGGCACATGCCTGGGTTGCAGGCTCCATTCCCAGTGGGGGACTTGCAGGAGGCAGCCGATCCATGATTCTCTCTCATCGTGGATGTTTCTATCTTTCTCTCTCTCTCTTCCTTCCTCTCTGAAATCAATAAAAAAATAAATAAACTCTGAACATCACTAATCAGGGGGGAAATGCAAATCAAAACCTCACACCTGTCAGAATGGCTATTATCAAAAAGACAAGAAATAAGTGTTGGTGAGGATGTAGAGAAAAGGGAACCCTTGTGCACTGTTGGTGGGATTGTAAATTGGTGCAACTACTGTGGAAAACAGTACAGAAGTTCCACAAAATATTAAGAATATCACTACCAGCCCTAGCTGGTTTGGCTCTGTGGATAGAGCAGCGGCCTTCGGACTAAAGGGTCCCAGGTTTGATTCTGGTCAAGGGCACATGCCTGGGTTGTGGGCTTGATCCCCAGTAGGGGGTGTGAAGGAGGCAGCCGACCAGTGATTCTCTCTCATCATTGATGTTTCTCTTTCTCTCCCTCTCCCTTCCGCTCTGAAATGAATAAAAATATTTTTTTTAAAAAAGAATATAACTAGCAGATGATCCAGCAATTCCTCTTCTTGGTATTTATCTAAGAATATGAAAACACTAATTTAAAAGATATATGTCCCCCTATTTTCATTGCAGCATTATTTATAATGGCCAAGATATGGAACCAACTTAAGTGTCCACTGAAAGATGGCTGGATAACATTGTGGTCCAGATATACAATGAAATATTACGCGGCCATGAAAAAGAATGAAATCTTACCATTTGTGACATGGATGAACCTGGAGGGCATTCTACTAAGTGAAATAAGTCAGACAGAAAAGGACAAAAACCATATGATTTTACTCATATGTGGGATATAAAAGAAAAAACTCACAAATGAATGAACAAAACACAAACTCATAGACACAGAGAACAGAATGGCAGTTACTAGAGGTGAAATGGGGTGGGGGAGGCAAAATGGGTAAAAGAGGTCAAATATATGGTGATGCAAGGAAACTAGATATTTGGGAATGAGCACTCAATAGAGTATCCAGGTATCAAATAATGCTGTACCCCTGAAATTTACATATAATATTATTAGCAATGTTACCTCAACTTATAAAAATTAAAAAAATTTTAAGTGAACTTATATAAACATTACGCTTTTAAGGCATGGTGTAGGGTGGATTATTTTGTCATCAAATTGGATGGCAAAGGATTGTGTTTACTGTGCAGTGACACCACAGCTAGTTGACATTACCAGACTAAGCACCCATCGCTGGCTTCCATACACAACAAATTTCTTCACAAAAATTAAAAGTTAAAACAAGACAACCAAATTAAATTTCCAAGTGGTTCATTTGTTCACCAAGCAAGGAAATCTACTTACTTATGGTGACTTAATTGTGTTTGATTGCTGCAGCTAAAGAAGTGTGTCCCGAGAAAATGAAATTAAGACGATCAGCCTTTAGGTGAAAACAGTTGTCTTAAAACTTAAGGAGCCCTAACCGGTTTGGCTCACTGGATAGAGCGTCAGCCTGCGGACTGAAGGGTCCCAGGTTCAATTCTGGTCAAGGGCATGTACCTTGGTTGCGGGCACATCCCAAGTAGGGAGCATGCAGGAGGCAGCTGATCAATGTTTCTCTCTCATCGATGTTTCTAACTCTCTATCCCTCTCCCTTCCTCTCTGTAATAAATCAATAAAATATTTTTTAAAAAAAAAACAAAACTTAAGGACACTGGCAGCAACATTAATGGTCAATTAAAAATGAGGTGAATGCTTTGAAGTCATTTTTCTTGGCTCTTGCTGAATCCGCAGTTGTTAGTGAAATTGCCCAATGGTTGTTTGTGTCTTCGAGGAGTCAACACCTCATCGCTTAGTTCGGAAGTGGACTGAAGAATTCGCCTTTATGCACAGTCTGCAAGGAACAACGAACCGCTGCAGGCAAGAATGTTTTCAAAGTTGAGGAGACACTAATTCAGTAGAACTTGAAGTGAAATCTGCTAATATGTGTTATCATTGACGGTGGTAAAAAATATACATGAAGCATGAAAAAGGTGTGCAAATTTACAAAGCCTGTGAAAACATAAAGTGCTTAAAGACTATGGTTCTTCACTGTATTAATCATCAGCAAGCATTTTGAGGGAAATATTTGATCTCTCATCAGTACTGAATGTCAACCATGAATCCACGTACTTAACTAGCATTAACATCACATTTGCATTAAATTTTGATGACAAGGAACACTACTAACTTTGAACCCCAATTAAACAAAAATGGTACCCCATTATGTTCTCTTTTTTAAAATATATTTTTATTGATTTCAGAGCAGAAGGGAGAGGGAGAGAGGGATAGAAACATCAATGATGAGAGAATCATTGATCGGCTGCCTCCTGCAGGCCCCCTACGGGAGATCTAGCCACCAACCTTTTGGTGCACAGGATTACACCCATACCGGCCAGGGCTGCCCCAAGCTAGTTTAAAGTGTCCTTTTTCTTTCCGGAGTGGAAGAAGAAAACACGAAGTATAAAAACATAGTACCTAATATATTTAGTGTAATGATAAGAATAGAAATAAAAAATTTAAATCCACATTATTAGAAATTTTGTAACCGGTTTAGTCCTAAGTATAGTAGTTAAGTTTGGAATCATGATTTGTGGTTTGACATCTACTTCTTAAGTCATTTAAAACACTGAGAAGGCAATATTAAACTTTTCATTTTAATTAAATATTCAGAATAAATTTTGATTAAATTAAGTTTGCACTTAACAGTTAAATATTTAGGAACAACTAATGTACTAAATAAGTTTTACTTTATTAGTTATGCAAACAATATAAATATTTAAGAGTGTTGGTTGATGGTAAAAGAATGTCAATTGCCCAATAAATGTGAAAGATGAACGAACAGGACCTTAAAAATAGTATAATTAGTTGTGGATAATCTTCCCCACACGCAAAATCTCCCTGGACATTAATGAGTTCATCCACCAACTGGCAGGTGGGCTACCCATTTCCGGACACCCAGGCCAACAATAGCAGCTGCGCTACCCATTTCCGCCACACCAGCAAAGGCCCTCAGGGCACAAGTGCTCGCTCCCAGCTGGAAACCCACTCTGAGGAATAAGGTAAACAGACACTACGCAGCTGGGCCAGCCTGGCTCTAGTCCCTCCAGCGGTGTCCGCACTGCGCATTGCAGCACTTGTAGAAGGTGGTCATGGGCTCGTCTGCAGAGCGCGTCTGAAGCTGCATGAAATAGGCACGCGGATGCTCACATTTGGGACACGGCTCTAGAAACAAGAAAAACAAACATGGGACCCACATTAAAAAAATGTCTGTGACCAACATACCTGTTAGAAGTAGGTGTTAAGGTGAATGACAGCAAAGACCTTCCTGGCTTATCTGGTGTCCCTGGTACCCTGATATAAGGCACAAACAGTGGTCTCGTCTCATTCCCAATATGATCCCACACTGGGGGAATCCAGGAGTTTGAAAACACCCCTCCTCCCCTCCCTGGGTCCCACTTTTCCTCTCAAATCTGGCTGAAGGCTGGTTGGAAACAAAACACAAAAGGCGACTTATGGCTGTTGTGTGAGTGACAGGTCCACACCTGCAGATTCCTCCTCCTCCAGTCCAGGTGCACATCCACCACCCGGGCAGCAGAAAGCCCTCTCATCCCCCAGAGAAAACCCCATGGATGACCAATCCACTTCCTCTTGTGTTTAGGGATCCATTTTGGCAGTTAGTATCTCAGCTGTTCTTACCGAGACCTCACCACGCAGTCCACACCTTTTCAGAGGGCGCCGAGGCACGAATTTACCTTCAGAATGATCCCACTTTGAGAAACCAACCCCGCTCTTGATGAAAACACCTCCAAACACTCTCACACCACCATTCTGAACATTTGATATAATAATTCATTCTTTTTAAAAATATATATATTTTTATTGATTTCAGAGAGGAAGGGAGAGGGAGAGAGAGAGAGAGATAGAAACATCAATGATGAGAGAGAATCATTGATTGGCTGCCTCCTGCAAACCCCCCACTGGGGATTGAGCCCACAACCCGGGCATGTCCCCTTGACCGGAATCGAACCCAGGACCCTTCAGTCCAAAGGCTGATGCTCTATCCATTGAGCCAAACCAGCTAGGGCCATAATCCATCCTTTAATGACAAATTCTACCATTGCTAATGTTTTAACATAGCAGATATGGGTGTTCGTCTATAGGGGAAAGAGAGTACTAATCATGACTTAGCTCTTCCTCCTATCAATACTGGCTGTGTGTAGGGCTCTCTGTCTTTCTTTCGTCAGAAATAAACCTCTATCAGAAATAAACCAATACTTGAAATAAACATTTATTTTACTGAGACTGTAGTGTAATGCTCTCTGGTATTAACTTGTAAAACTCTGCATTAGAACAAAAAGAGGATTTTTTTCCCCCTTAGACTGATTTCTATTGCTCCTGTCATTGTTGCTATCATAGCTACCACATGTTCAGTGCCCATGACGTGCCCAACACTGCATAATTCGCTTTGTGCTCTTACAATTTTTGAGTATAAATTAGCCCCAGAGAGGTCAAGGGACCAAGGCCGTCAAACAGGAAGAAGTCACCCCAAGTCTCTAACTCAGGTCAGTGTGGCTCCAAGGCCTGTGCCAGCATTATCTGTGCAACAAGTAAGTTATTTAAAAACAAACGAACGCACTTTCTAGTTTTAGAAGCCCCCCTCACAGAAGCGGTCACAGGTTCTGACATGCAGCAGCAGCCAGCGCTCGGGCTCACCCACAGCTCAGCAATGCACAAGCTCCCCTCTCACCTGCAGTGGAGTCCACGTTCTCCCAGGCGGCCGCCCCACCCAGCACGTCATCCACTTCTTTCAGCTTCGGATACTTCCGATTCGTCACCTACAGACAATGGCAAGTCTTCAAACGCTGCCCGTTAGTGAACATACTGATCTGGGCCATCACACCCCGCCCCCGCCCCTGCCCGCGAGGGCCTCCCTCCCCAGCAGCCCCTCCAGCCACAGCCTGGAGAGCTGCTGAATGAAAACCATGTTCTCGCTGCCGGGGAGCAGCACTGCCTTGGAATGTGAAGACCTGTTGGCATGCAGGCCCCGGCAATGGGGCCGCGGGACGGGAAGTCCGCCAAGAGGCTGGGGTGCTGCTGGGGCCAAGGAGCACCTCAGGGCGCGGACTCAGAGAAACGAGGCTCGGGAGAGGGCGCGGTGTCAGCTTCCCTCTGCGCGGGGACTGGCTGCCGAGGGTCCTGGACGCGGGACCGGCTCATCCGACTCGGGCGGTAACAGGGCCGCTCTGGCTGCCGCTGTGACCACAGCGAAGGGGGCACCTGCGACCACGGAGCCCCGGGGGAGGGAACGGCGATAACCAGGGGAGGGACCGATTCTAGGGCCGGATTCTAGGGGGACTCCAAGGCAGAGACGACGGGACGCGGGTGACAGACGGGCGGGTGGAGGCGGA